GGTTATCAAATTTAAAAAAATGCACTATCATTTCTACTTGTAACAGTACTTCTTGGTTGGTTTGCTATCTATCCTTGTATCATTTGCGGTATATTTCAAATATTGCCTTGATATATATTATCCTGGCGAATGATATTACAGTTGTAGGAATTTTGCATCTCTTTGTCTGTAGATTGTGTTATGTAGTGGTTCCATAAACTCTATTGTAGTTGGAGGCACAATATGCACTTGCTAAAGTGAGTGAGTGATAGAATTAAGGAACTTACAACTCTAAGAAAATAACAAAAAGTAATAAAATAATTACCAAATTATCTATGGATCTATGAGCTAACTGCAGATTAGAGGATTCATATAGTGGAGAGTTTTTAAATGCATTCACCGAGAAAGGAATACTTTTTTGTTTGTTTAATGAGGTAGTTACCTACAAATGTCATGGTGAGCATTTATGGATCAATAAGTATGATGCTTTAAAAAAACATAGCTTGAGAAAACTAAATATAACAAAATTAAAAAATGGTTAATACTCACATGTTTCACGACACAATACAAATAGAGCATAATGTCCAATGTTACTCCATACCACTCTAAGAAGGAAAAAAAATCAAACTCATGACAATACCATGAGAAGCCAAATATGTCAGTAAAGGAATAAGAATAATATTCAATATTTCATAAATAAGCATAAAAAGACTAATATTGCGCACCAAAATTATGCTTTCGAGAAAGACTTAGCTGAGGCCATTCCCATCACTCTGTTGCAATAATTAAACCATAACAACTAATCAATTTCAAACCTAATTACACAACATTCACTTGAACTTTAAAATAAGCTATATTTTGTCCTGCATCCTTTTACTCTTAGTTATCATCATGTTAGCAAAGTCAGCAAAATTCTATCTGACAAATTTTCAAAACCATCCGGTTTTGAAATTTATTCCCAAAAAAGACCATTTTTAACTTTAATTACAAATACAGACCCAGTTGGGTGAAATTGGGTCTGTTTTTGAAAAAAAAATTCAAATTTCACGGGAGTTATGCTTGATGGAGAACTTGATGCTTGATGGAGAACATGATCCCCCTAAATAAGCCATCCACTCAGCATCCATGCTGCTCTCCCCACTCAAATCAACCTCTTCAACGCAATGCTGGAAAACCGTGCATAAAATCAAAATAAATTTCACAAATTCCAATAGAAAAGGTTCAAAATAAAAAAAAGTTAGGGTTAGAGTTTTGAACGGACTCGAGGAGGGATGAGTGGAGGAGGTGGCGGTGGCGATGGCGGTGGCGGAGGTGACAGAGGCGACGGAAGAGGGCGTTGGCGAGGTGGGAGGGGAGGCGCTCCAGGGTTCGTTCTTGGCGAGAGTGAGAGCTGAGGAGGGGGAGCGCATCGCTATCGTGGCCTTCGAACTGGCCCAAATTTACTTCTGGAGAGAGCGAAGCTGAGGATGGCTGTCGTCGGCTTCGAATAGGCCGAAATTTGCTTCTGGAGAGAGAGAGAGAGAGGAGAGAGGGCGTTCAGTTGAGATAGTGGAGATAAGATAGAAAGGGAATTTCTGAGAGTGAGGTTGGGGATTCTGAAATAAGGGGGAATTTTGAAATTTAAAGGGAATTTCTGAGAGTGTATAGTATTGCCTGTTCATGTTACAATAGTTAATTTATTGTTAAGTTTACTGTAGAATGAACAGTTATTCTTTGATCCTCTTATTTGTATAAACTAGTACGATGCACGTGCTTTGCACGTGTGTCCATTTTCATGTTTATATGTAGGCTATAAGTGCGCATTGCAATGATAATTTTTTGTATCAAATGTACAATTTTATTATATAATAGTATTTCAAATTAGTTTGATTTGCATTAACACTTTATTAGATATCAAATCAGTTTACCAATCATAAAATTCATACATTCTATTTAGGGTAAATTTCACAAATGGCCTAGGATAAAGCCCTCAAAATTTTAAAATGTCACAAAACTCTTTAAGTTTTAAGGTTCTCAGCCAATTTCACCCATGAGTAATTTCAGGAAATGGTAATTTGGTCTTAACCCTAAAAAATTAACTCAATTTAGAATTTTTAATGGAGAAAATTAGTATCCTTAATATATATATTTCTCCTTCATTACCTTGTTCTTGATACAACATTGACATAGAAGAGAATTTTTTTATAATAAACTTAATAACTTAAGTTCAAAAATTTCTTACTTAGCAAATAATTTATTCTAATTTGTTTTTCAAATGCTAGTTTATTGACTCAAGATTTATAATTAATTAGTTTTTATCATAATTTCACCAAACGAATAGCTACTTTTAGGTTCATAAATTTCAATAAAAATGTTATGATATAAGAACTAAGAAGCTAAAATAGATATGAGTTTTTTTAGCCCCAAACTAATAAGCTACATAATTAAGATATGAGTTTTTTTTTGTTTTTTAAATTCAATGCACGTAATCATGTAAAGAATCACTAAAAACCTCATAGTTAACAAAATATTGCACGATTATGGTTTGAGAAAAAAATAGAATGCAAAAATATATAGAAACTTTAATTATTATTTATTAAATGAATCATATATTTTTACATCATCTCCAAAAAAGGACTAAAAATAATTGAACACCTTAGATCTTAGTTTATAGCAATGTTGATCAAGAAAAGAACATGAAAATTATAAAAATCATAGATAAAGTGAGCTCGAAAATGTCAAAGTCGCAAGCAGCAAAGAGAGCTAAATTTGGCTATTTTCTTCTCAATCAAAATTTTAATTACGAATTATAATATTGATTGGAAAATTTTGATAAAAAATTCTTGTTATTTATAGTGATTTGGTAGGAGAGAAATAGTTGTAACGTTTATTTATCATTAGTGCGCATAAAGTTATGTTAGTGTACATATTTTAAACTTTAGATGTCGTTATCTAAAATAGCCCAGTAACTTATATTTATATTGTGACATTTTAGTTTCACAACTAAACCAGTCATTCAACGTGTAGTATATTTAAATTTTAGTTTAACTAAACCATCAATGGAGTTAGAATAGAATGTTTGTTGTTGAGTTCGTTCTTCAACAAAACTTTCAAATTTATGAAGTACAGTTTGCTCAATGAGCATGAGTGCGACTTAAGAATAGATAGGGTTATGACATTTCTCATACAACTATATATGTTTACAACATTTCTTATAGAAGTAAAACTATAATTGAATTTTCTGATATGAAAAAGATCTCCAGTAAACCGTAACAATATAATTGTGGAAAATCAAAGAGGTAAAAAAAATTATATGCAGTGATTGTTGTTAGTGCCACAGCTTTGGAGTACAAATTACTAAGTGTAGATAAAATCCAATAAATAAAGCGCTAGTCTAAATATGCGTTTGTTATCATAACCATCTAGCATTATTTTTCACAACAATAAGAAAATTATAATAATACTATGAACGACGATTAAAATTTTACTAACCTTCAATGTGTCTTCCTTCTCTTCCTCTACTTTTCTCCAGGTTCTATTTTCTATTTGATGTGGGATAGTTGGATTTGAGGAAATGCGATCAATTTATAGGAGTCACATGACTTTTGAGTTATAAACTGAAATTTTGATAAGATTATCGGCTACTGTTTTTGTAACTCATGATTTGATGGTATTTTAATATATGTGCATTATTAAGTTACTAAAAAAAGCTATTAAAAAATTCAATCTCATAACTGAAACGCCTCTCAAATAATGGAGAGAGTGGAATGTGATTGTTGTCAACTATCACATCATTATATTTGTAAGTAAAATATTATTATTTTATATAAACTAAAATTTTTATTGAATAAAAGGATAAATTTTCAAAATAGATGAGTTAGTGGAGGAGTGTTATGAGTGGGTAATTAATTAAAAAATTAATAACAATCAATTGGGAGGTTATGAACAATTGAGCATGTATGTCTTCATGTATGTATGCATGCATGGAGGGAGGTTATAAAAAAATTGAGCATGTATGTATGAATGGATGTATTGGAGAGCATTTTAGGTAAAAATGTTTTAACATGGCAACCCACTTTTATAATAGTACTAGTACGCTGCACGTGCTTTGCACGTGTGTCCATTTTCATGTTTATATGTAGGCTATAAGTGCGCATTGCAATGATAATTTTTTGTATCAAATGTACAATTTTATTATATAATAGTATTTCAAATTAGTTTGATTTGCATTAACACTTTATTAGATATCAAATCAATTTACCAATCATAAAATTCATACATTCTATTTAGGGTAAATTTAACAAATGGCCCAGGATAAAGCCCTTAAAATTTTAAAATGTCACAAAACTCTTTAAGTTTTAAGGTTCTCAGCCAATTTCACCCATGAGTAATTTCAGGAAATGGTAATTTGGTCTTAACCCTAAAAAATTAGGGGAAAATGTTTTAAGGCCCCCAAAAAAAGATCCGGTTGTGGCCCAGCCCCCTCAATTAATTCCCTTAGCATTCAGCCCCATTAAATGGTGAAAAATGCGGCCCAGCCCTAAATCCTCATTCCTATACATGTATTGGGTGTGGGAAAAATGTTTTAAGGCCCCCAAAAAAAGATCCGGTTGTGGCCCAGCCCCCTCAATTAATTCCCTTAGCATTCAGCCCCATTAAATGGTGAAAAATGCGGCCCAGCCCTAAAACCTCATTCCTATACATGTATTGGGTGTATTTTGACCAACATACCTAAATTACCCTCTTCTCTCTCAAACGAAAACCGGCTAAATGGGTTCCGCCTCTGGCGGCGACCGCTCCCATCGCATTTAAGGCGAAGCGACGGAGGAAAGTGGGGGAAAAAAGCGCGCGCTCCCTCCATTACTGTGCTGCTTCATCAGACGGTACTATAAATCGGTTAGTTCTAGCTCTCACTCTCTCATTAATGAAATTAGGGTATGTTCTTCAACTGTCAACCACGCCTATGCGGCTGAAATCACCTCAATTACTCCTCACCTCCTCATAACTGTCCTCTAACTGTCCTCATAACTCTCAACCACCCAATGGCCGCCGATGACTTGATTTGCATGGTGTCTTTAGGCGAGAATGCCTTATTTATGAAGCTAATGTCGACAACAAGCTTTTATGAGCTGAAATATGGTGTGGCTGAAAGATTGAAAGTACCTGAAGAATCTTTTTCCCTGATATATAAATCTGAGAGGCACCCCAACCTGAGTTTTTCGGTTGAGAACGAAGCTGACCTGAAGTGCATGTTGGAGCACAATCAAAATATTGGTTGTACGGAGATTCATATGCAAGCTGCTGTTAATGTAGAGTGTTCCACGTCAGGGAAGAATCAGAAAGATATTAGGGAAATGTAAGTAATTAGTAAACTCTTTATAACATTGTGCTTAGTGTGATGTAAACACCGTTATCTTTTGGTCAACTTTCAATGACCCCTCTGGGCTTTAAATCCCCTGAATGTAACCGTATAACCGTCGTCATAAATTTGAACCCCCAACGGGTTCCAAAGAGTTGATGAGCATGGTGCCGTCAGGCGATAATGCTATATTCTGCATGATTTTAAGTGCACGTTGGAACGCAAGTAAATAACTAGAATTGTTCTGATTAAAATGCAAGATGTTGATGCCAAGTAGTGTCCTACTGAGGAAAAAACAGAAAGTTATTACTGATTTGTAAGTAATAGAATGAACTCTGCTTGAAACTGGTATATGTGTGATGTTGAAATTGTGATTTCAGGTTTCGATGCTACTTTGGGGAAAAATAATTGTCAACACTGATGGGTACATTTTAACCCTTCAGCTTACAGGTTAATTATCTAAGATATATGTTAACTATTATATGAACATGTTAACTCTCATTGGAACATGTTATACTTTTCTTGAACATGTTAACTTTCGTATTTATGTGTTAACTATGTCCATTGTCTGTTAAATTCCACTGCTCTATGTTAAGTTTACTCAAAATGGTTAATTTTACTCCCAGTTAGTTAACTTTTGGTGTGCTGTGTTAACCATGCATATTGTTAACTTTCATCATAGTGCTGGTAACTTAAGTTATAAGAAGATTATTTGACATAGTGTGCAGGATATCTCACTGTTTGATTAAATTGTGCAACAGGGATGCCTCTTTGAATGCAGATTATAGTTGTCCTCCTCCAGGAAATGCATCCAATTCAGAGAGAATCCAAACTGATTTTCCGTCTGGTGAGGTTGTAATGAGGGCTGATGATATTCTCAATAACACTTCGAGCATTCCTCAATGGTGGCACACAGCATTAACTGAAAAGGGGCAACAATTTGAAACCGTAACTGAATTGAGACTAGCTTTGCAATACTATTCCATCGCCAAAAAATTTGAATATGAATTTGTAAAGAATGAACCCAAACGTATCCGCGTTTGTTGTCGATATAAGGAGACGTATGGATGCCCTTGGATGCTCTTTGCAGCTCCTGTTAAAAATGATAAAAGAATGGAAATCAAAAGGTTTGTGAATGAACACAGTTGCGGACAACATTCTAGCTTGTCAGGGCAATCACGGGCATCTCGCAAGTTCATAGCAGCCCAATTGCGACCGGTATTAAAGGCACGACCTGAAATCCGCCCAATTGATGTGCAAAAGGACTTCCTCACTCGATTTGGATTGAGACTTGAATACAGTAAGATATGGTGGGGCAAAGAAAGAGCGCAACAGGATATGTATGGTGATAGCTATGAGGCTTATGATCAATTAAGATGGTAAATATTACAGTTAATTTATAACTTGTGTACAAATGTTTATCGTAGTCGCTTTAATGTTAATATATTACCCTTATGTTCCAATGTATTATATTTATTTACATGTCCAGAAGCGGCATTGTTGTACAGGTATGAGCAAATGTTGAAGCAAACGAATCCAGGAAGCTACATTTGCATTGACCAGAATGAAGGAAGGTTCAGAAGACTGTTTATATGTTATGCTGCTTGCATCCAGGGTTTCTTAAATGGCTGTAGACCCCTTTTATTTTTGGATGGGACCTTTTTGAAAGACAGATATAAAGGCATGCTTCTAAGCACCATAGCCTATGACGGAGACCGAGGGATATTTCCACTTGCGTATTGTATATGTGATCAAGAAAATATTGATAATTGGAGATGGTTCCTACAAGGCCTGTGGTCCATACTGTATGAAAGGTTAGACCCGTACAATCCCCCCCACCAATTGGTAATTATTTCTGATGCTGACAAGGGGATTCGAGAAGCCGTGAGAGAATATTTCCCCAAAGCAATTCACTCACGCTGCATTCTGCATCTAGTTGAAAATTTTAGATCAAAGCTCAAGGATTTGGGAATGAAGGCAAAGGACACACAGGTTTTGGGGAATTTGCTCCAAACTGCTTGCTATAAATACACTATAGCGGAATGGAACGACTACATGAAGAAAATTTATGAGATGGCTCCAGCCGCATATGAGATTGCAATTAATTACTCGCCAGAGCATTGGGCAAATGCCTTCTTCCCTGGCATTAGGTATGCATTCAATCATTATGACGTTTTGCGGTTGATGTTAACTGTTATGCATATATGTGAAGTATCCTTTTTATAGGTTAACCTTCGCTGATATATGTTAACTTTAACCAATATATGTTAACTATGATGTTTTTATGTTAGCCTTTAGCAGTATAGGTTAAGTTTTATGGTCACTTGTTAAGAAGATAACATATTATATGCCCATCATACTTTCTAAATGTTGACCTTTGCAGATATGGCCATGTAACCTCTAATGTCACAGAATCCTTTAACAGCTGGATACGTGAAGCCCGTTTGTTACGTATCCTACAAATGGTGGAGCATATCCGAAAACAACTTATGGCTCGCATGAACAACAGACGGATAATGGCGTGTAAGTGGACAAGCTATCTTTGTCCTAAAGCTGAGAAGATTGTTAGGGAAAATATGGAAAAAGGGCACACTTTAGAGATTAGGCAATCTAGAGATTCTAACAGGCATTATCACAGATTACAAAAGTACAACGCTATATACTTAACAACTTTAAAACCATCTATATGTCTCATACAAAAGTATTGTTGTTTATGCGTCTTGTTTCAGCTTCTAACAACAATACTTTTGTATGAGACATATAGATGGTTTTAAAGTTGTTAAGTACAACTTTAAAACCATCTATATGTCTCATACAAAAGTATTGTTGTTAGAAGCTGAAACAAGACGCATAAACAACAATACTTTTGTATGAGACATATAGATGGTTTTAAAGTTGTTAAGTATATAGCGTTGTACTTTTGTAATCTGTGATAATGCCTGTTAGATTCATTTTGTTCATGCTGTTAATAGAAACTGCAAGCATGAGAGACATTTTTAGATCTTCACCTGTCATGTCAAGTTTTTGAGTTTAAATAGGTGACTTCTCCAACATATGAGTCACTGTTCTAACGGCTAGCAACCAGTCATTTCAAATAGCCATATTCCAACGGCTAGTAAGTTGATCCTTAAGCAATATAAAATGTGCACATAGGAAAGTTATAAGCTTAATAGAAGTTCTAACTTTCCCTTCATTCCCTCTTGAGATTGCGAGATGAAAACGTCAGAGGGTTCTCAGTCATGGGAAGAGGTATGTTGTTTTTGTAACATTCCAACACCCATGAAGCAGTGCAAAAATGGGAGGAACAAGGGTAGATTCTTCTGGGGATGTGCAAATTTCCCAAAGAGCCAATGCAAGTTTTTCGCTTGGGCTCACAGTGAAGATGCAATGGTAAGTAGCAATATTCCAGATTGCCCAGAAGTCCCCGTTGAAGATGATATGGCGGTCAAGGCAAAGCAGTTGAAGAAAGCACTGAAGCAAGCAAACCGCGAAGTTGAAAAATGGAAACTTTGTTCTTTCTTCATGTGTTGTTTTTGTATGGTTCTAATATCCATCATCTTTGTCATCTCTAACTGAATTTGGTTAAGTATCACGTGTATATGTTAATGTTTACTATAAATGGTTAAGTTTCAGAGCTATATGTTAACTCTAACTGATATATGTCAAGTTTTAGAGCTACATGTTAACTATTTCTGATAGTGGTTAAGTTTCAGAGCTACAGGTTAACTTTTATTGGAAGTAGTTAACTTTCAGCGCTATATGTTATCTTTCATACTTATATGGCAGCCAATGCAAGTTTTGTGTCGGAACATCAGTGACATATACTATCATCCCTTATCATCCCTAACTATGAAAGTTAACATAAACCTATAATCATTAACATGTAACTATGAAAGTTAACATAAACCTATAATCATTAACATGTAACTATGAAAGTTAACATAAACCTATAATCATTAACATGTAACTATGAAAGTTAACATAAACCTATAATCATTAACATGTAACTATGAAAGTTAACATAAACCTATAATCATTAACATGTAACTATGAAAGTTAACATAAACCTATAATCATTAACATGTAACTATGAAAGTTAACATAAACCTATAATCATTAACATGTAACTATGAAAGTTAACATAAACCTATAATCATTAACATGTAACTATGAAAGTTAACATAAACCTATAATCATTAACATGTAACTATGAAAGTTAACATAAACCTATAATCATTAACATGTAACTATGAAAGTTAACATAAACCTATAATCATTAACATGTAACTATGAAAGTTAACATAAACCTATAATCATTAACATGTAACTATGAAAGTTAACATAAACCTATAATCATTAACATGTAACTATGAAAGTTAACATAAACCTATAATCATTAACATGTAACTATGAAAGTTAACATAAACCTATAATCATTAACATGTAACTATGAAAGTTAACATAAACCTATAATCATTAACATGTAACTATGAAAGTTAACATAAACCTATAATCATTAACATGTAACTATGAAAGTTAACATAAACCTATAATCATTAACATGTAACTATGAAAGTTAACATAAACCTATAATCATTAACATGTAACTATGAAAGTTAACATAAACCTATAATCATTAACATGTAACTATGAAAGTTAACATAAACCTATAATCATTAACATGTAACTATGAAAGTTAACATAAACCTATAATCATTAACATGTAACTATGAAAGTTAACATAAACCTATAATCATTAACATGTAACTATGAAAGTTAACATAAACCTATAATCATTAACATGTAACTATGAAAGTTAACATAAACCTATAATCATTAACATGTAACTATGAAAGTTAACATAAACCTATAATCATTAACATGTAACTATGAAAGTTAACATAAACCTATAATCATTAACATGTAACTATGAAAGTTAACATAAACCTATAATCATTAACATGTAACTATGAAAGTTAACATAAACCTATAATCATTAACATGTAACTATGAAAGTTAACATAAACCTATAATCATTAACATGTAACTATGAAAGTTAACATAAACCTATAATCATTAACATGTAACTATGAAAGTTAACATAAACCTATAATCATTAACATGTAACAATAAAAGTTAACATAATGTAGCCACGGTTAATCAGAATGTCTAAACTTACTGATGGGCTGTTTCATTGCAGAACTGAGAGAGCCATCTGTTCTCATCTGGTGTGAGCTTTGCTGCTATATGCTGAGGCACTCTATAGTTGTGAACGAGCTGAGGCACTCTAAAGTTGTGAACGAATGTTCCTTCACTATCAATCACACGTATGCTAAAATCATCAACGTTGGGAATACCCTCGTTTAGCAACTTCAATAGAGCCTCCTCCTTCTTCTTGATTTTCCTCTTCCCAAGAATATCCCAAGTGCATTCATCAGGCTTACAATAGAACCTGATTTTCTCCCTCTCTTCATCCTTGTGTGGTGATATATTAATTATTTCTGGATGACCGTCCTTCTTCTTTCCTTCAGTGAAAGGGGTTCGGACTAGATGTGAGCGAGTCCTCTTTCTGTCTTCCGATAAACTTGCACCTTATCCTTATCCTCCTCACTAGCCACAGCTTTCCCCTCTTTGTCAACCTCCATCTCTTGCCATTCCTCCTTCGCTGCCTCCTTCTCTTCCTCTTTCTTCTCCATCTCTTGCTCTTCCTCTTTCTTCTCATCTTCTCTCTCTTCCTCTTTCTTCTCCATCTCTTGCTCTTCCTCTTTCTTCTCATCTTCTCTCTCTTCCTCTTTCTTCTCCTCCTTGCTATGCATGACTTTCTCCACATACGCAACCTCCATTTCTTGACATTCACCTTTCTCTGCCTCCTTCTCTGTTTGCGCAACAGCCTCGGCAATATGAGAAGCTTCCTTGCCAATGTTCGATACATCGTCATAATCAAAACAAATTCCATCATCACCCATATCACCCCTATCATTAGAATCGTGCATACCCTTTATGCCTATCACTTTGTGACATAAGTTCCCTCACATTTTTCTTCAGGTCTTCGGGGTCAATCAAGTCTTCGATCCCTTCATAGCGCTCCAATTTCTTGTTCAACCTATGTATCTCCTGGGAGCAAGCATCCCATTGAAGGCGCTTGCTACGCTTGACAGCGTGGAGCAATTTCCAATTTATATTGGCCGTATTCCTCCAAAAATGAATTTGCTCTACAGGCGTCAACTTATCTATTTCATCTTCTCTTGAAAAAGCATCAGCGATATGCTGGGACAAAATCTGTAAAGTACACCATATACCCTTTACCCTTGTAAATCCACAAGATTAAGCAGAATAGTTATGAAAACCCACAAAAGAAAGTTAACATGGAACAATGCAAATTGAAAATGAATTAATGATAACGATAAAATATTTAACTCAATGTAAATATGCTGTGATGTGTAAAGAGTCATTGCTGCTTACGTAACCCACAGATGAGCTCTTTGGTCTGCCCATCACCTTCTCTTGCTTCCCAGCCTTCTGCTTTTCTTCCTCGTTCATCTTTCTAGGCCTAGTTAACTTTTTGGTCTGCCCATTACTCCTTTTCTTCTCTTGCTTCCCGGACGTTGGGCTTCTATTTTTCCCAAAGCGAGTGAATTCAATCTTCTTCCTGCTGGGCTCCCTTTGAGGGTATTTTTCACCCCATCCAATGCTGAGTGAAATTGGTTTCTCCTCAAGTTTTATGCTTGCTTTCTTGGCCTTAGAGACGATTGTCTCCATCCTCAGCGATCCAGCCGTCCCTCCGACCCTTACCCAGTTGGTCATCGGAGGCTTCCACCTCAAGTTTAGGGCTGGTTTTTTAATGCCAGTCATCTCAAACTACCAAAGCTGTCAGAATAGAAGGATCAATTGTCAAAATAATTAACTTGCATAACTCTTTCTTGAACTACAACATACTAAATAGCTAGCCTTCACTTCACTAACCCATGTTAACATTACTGGGTACATGTTACCTTTCACTTATTAATGTTAACTTTAATTTTTATATGTTAAAGTTTATGTTAACATGTTAACTTTCACCTATTAATGTTAACTTTTACTTTTATATGTCAAACTTCATGTTAACATGTTGATTTTAACATGTTAACCTATTAACGTCCAATGTTGTACATGTTTTCTAATGCATGTTACCATGACTCCTATTAACTAGATCAAATGTCAAGCCAGATGATCATGCAACATACAGGGATGAGCGGCATGCATCCAGGTACGTATGTAACCCCTGGCTTCCTCATCCCTTGAACAGCAATTTGAATGCCTCTCTTCGTCTCATCAAAAATAAATTTACCCCACACAATGGTCTTCACTCTCTCGATACTATCTACATATTGAAACAATTGTCTTGGGATGCCTTGAGAGCTGTTGGGGCACCAAATCGTTGCACATTGGTACAATATCTGAAGCAACACAAAATCCTCAATGTCCTTATTATCAGAGGACTCAACAAGTGTTTCCAGCAACTCCTCGACATATCTCATCATGCTACCAGCTTCTGGTGTAGCCTTGGCCTTTGCCTTTGCCTTTGGCTTGGCCTTTAGCATTTCTTTCTTATCTTCAAAGTATTGCCTCCAAAGTCGGTTGTGAGAGTCTCTATTCCCGTAGATCAGCTCCCCATCAATGGGAAAGCCTGTGTGAGTATGCACCCACTCTTCATCAAATTTCACTGAAAATATAGAACTGCTCTTGGGGTTGGGAAAAGAGAACTCATCAGTTTCGCCAGTATAATGGCTGAGTACATACTCTAGTGCCCGTCGATCGCGTGCTGGGGGACCAAAGAACACATAGTGCTCAAAGTTACAGCCCTTGTAGGCATCCCAATGCCACTTCTTCAGTTTTGGTTGCAGTTTTTGCATGAAGGAACAATATGTTCCAAGACAGGCACTGGGCCTAATATCACCTAAAGCAGCAACTATCCTGGATGAACAACAGTTTACTCTTAACAAGTGGTTCAACTTTAAATTACGTAACAATCAACAGTAAAGGCATTAACATAGTCAAAATCACGTTTTATTAACATGATTAGCTAAAAGTTGACTCTTAAGAGTAAACGTTAACAACAAACACAGATTATTGACATGCATTGCTACTAGCTATCAACAATTGAGAATTGTTTACATGCATTTCTTCCAACCCACAATTAAAATCAATTGATTGGGAATTTACTTCTTCTTTGAGATGGACACATCATCCCGCGAGCGTCTCCTCTTGCGCTCTCGATTTTCCTGAGTTTTCATGCTCAATAGGGTTTCCATCGCCTCATTACTCTCCTCATCATCAGAGGATGGCGGAACAGAATCGCTAGCGTGAGATATCAAGGCGGAGGTGGAGGGGGATAAGTTTCGTAGTTCCTCCTGCGCAAGTCGTGCCGACCGACGCCGGGGACGAACGTCCGCTTCCGTTTGAATCTGGTCTACTTCACCCTTGCGTCGTTTAGTGTTATTAGACATTTCTCTTATAATTTTCTTCGCCATTTTCCTTGTGGATTTCTTCGGCATTTTCTCTTATAATTCTCGTCTAGGGTTTTCAAATTGGGTTCG